AGGTTCGATATTTCTTGCCAAGGTGGTCGACGGTTTTCCTCTTTCCATTTTCGGATTTTCTGTATAACTGGATCTCTCTCTTGTTCTTCCCTGATCTTGGTAGGCGTCCAGTCGTCGTGGACCACCGTCGTTCTTAGCACTGCTGCTTCCTTGGATTCCGTTTTGTTGCAGTGAGAACACTCTGCTGGGCATGGCCTTCTGGAAAGAGAATCAGCGTTTCGGTGGCTAACTCCGGCCCGGTGCTCAATCTTAAAATCATATTCTTGGAGTCGTTCGATCCACCTGGCTATCTGACCCTCTGGATTCTTGAACTGCATCAACCACTTAAGGGCGGCATGGTCGGTTCGGATTAAAAACTTCCTTCCATAGAGGTATTGATAGAAGTGCTCTACTGATTTCACTACTGCCAGAAGTTCTCTTCTCGTGACGCAATAATTTCGCTCAGGTTTTGAGAGAACTTTACTAAAATGTCCAAGGACTCTTTCCTGTCCTCCTTGAATCTGAGACAGCACTCCTCCAATTCCCACATTACTTGCATCTGTATCTAAGATGAACTCTCCTTCTGGCAGTGGATACCCTAAAATTGGTGCTGTGATTAAATGCTTTTTTAAGGTTTCAAAGGCATTCTGGCAGTCTACATCCCAGCGGTATTCTCTTGCTTCCTCTGTAAGTCGCGTTAATGGTTTAGCGATATCTGCAAACTTCTTAATAAACCTCCGGTAGTAAGTACACAGTCCCAGAAAACTTCTCACTTGATGTTTGTCAGTTGGTTTTGGCCATTCCTTAATAGAATCGATTTTTCCCTTATCCACGGCCACTCCTTCTTTACTGACTATATGACCCAGATAATTGACTTTACCTTGAAATAGCTGGCACTTCTTGGGGTTTAACATCAATTGGGCAGCTTTAAGTCGATTAAAAACGTTTTCTAAATTCTTCAGATGGTCTTCAAATGTCTCCCCCAAGACGATTATGTCGTCTAGATAAACTAGGCATGTTTTCCAAGATAACCCTCTCAACACATTTTCCATAAGCCTCTCAAATGTCGCAGGAGCGTTACAAAGTCCAAATGGCATAACGTTGAATTGCCATAATCCAGATCCTGTGGTGAAGGCTGTCTTTTCTTTATCTACCGGGTCCATTTCTACCTGCCAGTATCCAGACTTCAAGTCCAAAGTAGAAAATAATTTACTTCCAGCCAATGTGTCCAATGTGTCATCGATCCGAGGCAGAGGATAACTATCTTTCTTGGTAACGTTGTTCAGCAAACGGTAATCCACACAGAACCTCGTTGTTCCGTCTTTCTTCTTAACCAGGACCACCGGAGAGACCCATGGGCTCGTAGAAGGTTCTATCACCCCGTCTTTCTTCATTTCCTGAACAATCGTTTCAGCTTTCTCTCTTTTCGCCTGTGGTAATCGTCGAGCTGTTTGACGAATTGGCTTAGCATTACCAGTATCAATTTTATGCTTAACAACGGTAGTTCTTCCCGTCTTTCCTCCTTTCGGTACGAAAATATCACGATACTGCCGAAGAAATTCCCTTAATTTCCTTTTCTCAATCTGATTCAGAGACTGTCCAGCAACCGCAACCATTTGATCAAATTTATCGTTGGAATTATCAGACGTTGTCGTCTGACGGATTATGGATGTGACAGGTACACAAGTTCCTACTTTTGTCTCTTTCTTGATGGTCACTGGGTAGTCATTGACATTAATAAGTCTCACAGGAATTTCTTTAGCCGAAGTCACTAATTCTTTTCCAATTATGATTCCACGGCCAACTTCGTCGTCATGATTCCAAGGCTCCATCATAACAGGTGTTCCTTTGTCCACAATTCCCTGTAGCCGCGCTACTATTATCGTTTCACTTCTCGCAGGCACGACTGTATCTTCTTTAACGGCTGCTTGCATAGTGTTGTCATCGTGTGGATGGAGAAATACCTCCTCGTTACCAACTTTGATTACCTTATTCTTAAAATCCAATTGGAATCCATGCGTATTCATTACGTCCATTCCTAATATAACATCCTCTTCGATGTCAGCAACTATAACAGTATGGACGAACTTTTCTGCTCCAATTCCTAATTGTACCTGGATTTCTCCATGAATGTTGGCATTTTCACCTGTGGCGGTCCGAAGTCGCAACCTCGTTGGTAACAGTTTCTTTCGGCTGTTTATAACTGTCGGGCGTATAATGGTTCTGGTCGCTCCAGTATCCACCAACAACGTATGCTTTTTACCATTTATTTCTCCATCTACATATACACTATCTTCACGACATTTCAAAGAAGCTATTAGTATCAGAGGGTCTTTGGTAAAGTTCTGGGTCGAAGCTGCTCCCCTAAGGCCGACGCGTTCTGGTTTTGTCTTCGGTCTTATGGTCTTCGTTTTCTTGTGTGTCATGCTTTTTATCATATTAAAGAGCTGGTCAAGTTTATCTTCGTCTCCTTCCTCTTTTACAGTTTTAACTTTACTGTACCCGCCAGAGGCTAGCGTAGCTGACTCGTATTCGAGGGCGGCAGATAAGACATCCATCAGCGTCTTGTGACGAGCTAATCGTAGTGTTCTTTGCATCTCATGATCACGAAGACCATCAATAAACGTTTGTACGGCCAACTTTTCCATCATGTCTTCGGGAGCTGTTGGATAAGCATATCGCACTAATCTGGCGATATCTACTTCATATTCTTGAAGAGCCTCATCTTTCTTTTGTCTTCGATTTTTGAGCTGCGACTGTATATATATATATATATATATATATATATATATATATATATATATATAGAAAGTTACCCTCCAAAGAATTATATATATATATATATATATATATATATGTTTATATATATATATATATTATATATATATATATATATATTAATAAAGTATTCATATAATATATATATATATATATATATATATATATATATATAGAAAGTTACCCTCCAAAGAATTATATATATATATATATATATATATATATTTATATATATATATATATATATATATATATATATATATATATATTAATAAAGTATTCAACTAGTGAAATCCAGAGGTTTATTCGGTCAGTCAGGTTGGCAAAATAAAAAACAGAAGTCAACTACTTCATAAGTTTATAGAAGATGTTTCGATTTATACTTCTAAAGCTTCCTCAGTTCTAACTCAATATGTAGTATTAAAGATGTTATTATATATGTACTTAAGTTTGCTCATAAATTTAGAACTAACTTAAAAAAAATTAAACAGAAACATGCAAAAAATAATATTCGCAGAAACGAAGATTTACAAAAACTTTAAACGTACATTTGGCTTCATTTAGAGATGGTTCCGTAATTTCGTTCGTCACTATTGGATCCAAGTTTAAATATCCTAATCTCTTATATTTTTCTTGGAATTTTTTTCTAAATTTGTTACTTCTTTTAATTATTGCTTCCATCTATGTATTTTTTTTTCTCTATTCAGGACGTCATCTCATCTGTCTCGAACGTTTTTCAGTCTGGAGGGTTTCTTTTATCGAATCTGTTGCAGTGTACCATACAATAGTTTTTAAGTACTCAGATAGCTTTTATTCATCGTATATCCGAATTCTACCATGGTTTACTCCTTTTCTTTTTTTATTGTGATTTTTTAAGTTTTACTTACTCGTAGTAAGAAAAACCATTTTAATTGGATCATTTATTTTCTTTTTATTTTGAATCTCTTGTTTATTTTTTTATAGTTCATATCAAATTCTATTTAATTTCAGACTTCAGTAATGTTTTATTATTCTATACACGTTACTTTACCGATAAGTTATATTTTCATTTATTGACCAGCTGGTATTTTCTTTTTTGGTATTATAGACAGAATTCAAATGTTTAGAGCCATAGTCTTTGAAAAAAATAGCTGTATACTACACTACTACTACTACTAAGGATTTCCACAGTTTTCACTGTCTTCCTTCACACAACCGTTTTCTCCAATTTTCCCTGTCATTCCAGTCTCCATCTCGCAGGGTTCTTTTCTCCATAGCCTTGTCGATTTCGTCTCTGAATGACCTTCGGGGTCTTCCTCTCTTACTTCTTCCGATCGGGCTCCATTCTGTAATTTTGTTTATCCAGCGTCCTCTGTCCGCTCTTCTGACGTGTCCGTACCAGGATAGTCTCTTCTCCTCTATATAGTCGATTATGTCTGATTGCACTCCTATTCTCCGCTTAATCTCTGCGTTTTCAATTCTGTCTCTTTTTGTAAGTCTACAGCTTCTCCTCAGGAATTCCATTTCTACTGCTCTTATTCTACCTGTTTCTCTTGTTTATTGTCCAGTTTTGACCCATATGTCAGGATACTTCTTGTCAGGGTTTTATATATTATCTTTTTTGTCTTTATCATAATGTTCTTATCCCACAGCACTGAATTTAGTTGTCTTATACAGTTTCTTGTTTGTCTTAGTCTGTTGTTTATATCTTCTTCTGTTGTTCCCTGGTTCAATATTATGGTTCCTAAATACTTGAATTTATCTGTTTAATTTACTTGTCTTTCCTCGTCTATCTCTAGGTTTCTCATATCCTTGTTTTCTGTTGTTAGGTATTCGGTTTTCTCTAAGTTTATTTCCGTTCCGTTGTTTTTATATTCTTCTTCTAGTTTTCTGAGCATAAAGCTGAGATCTTCTTCATCTTGTGCGATGACTACTTGATCGCCGGCAAAACTTAAGGTGTATAGGTATTCCTCTCTTACTGGTATGTTCATTCCTTCGTACTTTCTCCTCCATGGTTTGAGTGTCTTTTCCAAGAATATTTTAAACAGAGTAGGGGACGTAGCGCAGCCTTGTAGAAGTCCTTTTGTCGTCTTAAATGGATTGTAGGCTTTATTTCCACATTTAATAGCTACTTTGTTTTCTTTGTACAGTGCTTTAACTGCTTTTATTGGTGTTTGTCGGATTCCGAGCTGTATACAAGTTACGTTATTTCAATTGATATATTTACACCTTAATTTATATTAAAAAAAAAAAACAAAACCTTAATAGATTCAAGCATTTTATTAGTATTGTTAGTTTTATATATACTTTAAATTAGATTTTCATTTTCAATTTTGTTTTTATGCAGTATTTTGAAATATATCAAATACTTGATATAATAATTAATTAGATAATATATCACAAATTTCAAACTTTCCCTTATACGTTTGCTTTGTCATTAGCCAACTTCTTATAGTCTTCTATGGGAAAAACACCATCTTCCGTAACAATATGTAAATTGTCAGCACAAACAAGAGGATTAATGTGAGGATTGTGTATTTCACATATTTGAGTAGAGCACGCAGCAGCTGGGTCTCCACTACCTGCTAAGCTTCCAAGCCAATATTCGTTTCCTGGTAACGCATTTCCATCCCAAGCATAAGAAACGACTAATAGTTTTCCTTAAAAAAATATCAAACAATTATAAATAAATATAGAAGCGTAAAGTAAGACAAATTAAGATAAAATATGTAATAGTTAAACTCAATGTGTTTACTCCGTGTTATCTCTCCTGCAAGCTCCATGTTTTTTGTTCTCTTTCATTAAAGAATATAGTGTATTCTATTTATTTCTGTTTTATATTCTCCGTTTAAAAAATTAGTTATCGTATTTTCTGGTCCTTCGTGGATTGTATTTGTTCCCCAGATTCTTCTGGGGTGCTTTCGTCTCTAGTATTCATAGCCTTGAGTGATGTGTTCGAAATGAATTATAGAATATAGATGTTGTCTTAAAAAATATATAATTTTACATCATTGCCCCAAGTTGCCACACCCACAATCCTTATAGTTTGTAACCGCCTCGGATTTACGTATTTCTGAAGGAATTATCGACCACGTGATCTTTCCAAAGAGCGACTGCTTTGCGTCAGTTTTTTCTGTTGCACTGGGGGTTTATTGTGGAACTGAGCAAACAGAGGTTTATTGTGGCACTGAGCAAACAGAGGTTTATTGTGGCACTGAGCAAACAGAGGTTTATTGTGGCACTGAGCCTATTTGTATTAAATGTCTATGGATGTGCCTTGGGCCCGCCGGAAATTGAGCACAGCCCACGCACATCCCACGCGCAGCCCATTTTGTAAAACGTGGTTTAAGACGGAGCGACGCATATTAAACCCAAACCACGGCTAGGCTACTGCCAGACTTGGTTGGCGTGGATAGAGTTGTGCTAGCAACACAGTTTCGTGGGTCGTGGGTCTCTACCTAACCCTAGTTATTTTGTTTTGTGTGACCAATTTTTTGTTATTCAGTGAAAATGGGAAAGTTTATTGAAATTGTACGAAGCTTTAGTGTCTTGTATGATACTATCAATGAAGATTACATGAGAACAAAACTAATATGTTCTTTATTTGTGCTAATCGACTCGGATGTAAGTCGCCGTTATAATTATTTTAAAAAAAATTAATTTAAATTAATTTTTTATTAAATCAAATGAGAAATATAACAAATCGAGAACTAAGGAAAAAAACAAATTTTCATTTCCTAGTAAAATGTTTATGAACACCTAAGATGAAAACTTCAAAATAAAATTTGATGGTACCTTTTCGTGATGCTCATATTGTAATGGCTTTTATACACTGAAATTAATTTAAAAAAGAACATGAAGAAAGTAGAAAAATAATAAAAAATTCTTAAATTTAAATTTATCTCGAAAACAAAATACGATCTGGAATTTTTGTATTTTATATCTCTTCTGTTGTTTATTAGGTTATTTCACCTATTTTAACAATACTCTTTATAGTATTTTGTTAGAGGATTCCAACTTAGTATTGGATAAACATAAACATTGTAAAAGTTTCCAAGAAATGAATATCCGATGGAGTTTTCAAAACAAGCGAAATGAAAGTCGAAAAATTCAACGGCATTGTGGCCAGTTACAATATCTGCCTGTTATACTAATTAGTAATTTGAAAGTCAATATCGGCAAAACCAGCTTATTCAAATTATGGGTACCTACCTGTTATAGTCTTTTGTTGAAGGATTTCAATTTTTTACCCTTAGCATTTGTGAAAGTTATTTATATTTTCAGATTAGAAATTATTAGTTAGTGGGATATTAGGTAAAAGTTAAAAGATCTAGAAAATAAAATCTTTATATAAACTAATATACTGAAAACAGTCTATCTTTTCGTTGAATAGTATTTGCAAAAATAATCTCCTATGCATAGTCCAGATTTTTCGTAACAATCAGCACACTCGTAAATTGTGTTTTTCCTAATTTTATGGATAGAACATATTCTACACAAATATTTGACATGGGCGTGGGCTGTGTTTAATATGCGTTAGTATTGAAAAACGTGTACTTGGACTAGGTTGGACCATATGTGGGCTGCGCGTGGGATGTGCGTGGGCTGTGCTCAATTTGCGCCGGGCCTTAAGGGGGTTTGTCACTTTTTTCAATGCTTTATTTTCATTAACCTATATATTTGAATTTTTCACAGAAGTTGATAACACAGTGTAGTTGCTTGTATATTTTTGGCTATATTTATTAGAGAATACTATTACAAAAAAAATAATGAAATATATTATTGAATAATGTGCCTAACCTTCTTGCAACTTATGTAAAAAAAATAAGCCTTACGCTACTGATACATATAGGCAATTAAACAAGTTCGTATTTTATATTGTCATAATATTTTTCATTGTATATATATATAATTATTAAAAACATGATATATAAATATTAAACTTTGTAATTAATATGCAACTATTTATTATACCTGCATCTTCGTTTATTAGTTTGGCATGTGGTTCTCTGTTAAATATATGAATTTTTATTCCTCCCTGTGTATGATTTTTTATGTGAAAAGTGTCACCATTTCCGTAACCTCCACAGCGACTTTCATGGATATATGCAAACAAATATCACTAACATATTGTAATTTTTCACCGAGGCATCTAAAAAACAACTTTCGTTTCAAGATATAAAAATATTAAACACATTATTTATTCTGACAACGTTCGTGTCGTAATATTTGTAAGTTTTAATTGTTTGTCGAGTCTCCCGTGTACGTTCTATATCGATTTTAGACAAGGCTTTAGTCCTAAAAAGTTATCCGCTATATTGAGGCATCACAAAGATGTTTAAAAACTTTAACACTTAAAAATTTTCTATTAGCTTGCAGTTTCGCACCTACACTTAGACTATAGTGTATTTTTATGTATGAGAGAGTAATAAAACATTAAATTATGTATGCAAATCCCTAAACTGTTGATACGGGTGACTCAATGAAAAACAGATATTTGTCAACAAGTTTACAGAAGTATATAGGAAAACAATTTTAAATTGAGTATGACCACCAGGTATAAAGGTTGGAGCAGAATAGAATACAATACTTGTGAGGGTTACTAATCCCTAAATAAGGTTGCCAGTGTCGGAGTGATGGAGGTTAACAGGTACTAATGAATTTGCAAGAAATGTAAGATGTTTATTTTATTGGTTATATATAACCAATAAAAGTTTAATAAGTACCTACCTATTTGCAAAATAAAGTTTAATTCTTTAGATAAAATAAAGCGTTTTATTTTATCTGAAATGAGTGCATTCCACGAAGTAAGGGTTTCAACAATAAAACATTTAATTCTTTAATTCCAGGAATCTACGACAGTAATTGACTAGATAATTACCTTCTAAACTTATTCCACAGAAAATGTGATAGTGGGTTTTTGGAAAAAAACAATGATTTAATTGTTTTAAATCATTTACAGACAAACGTTTATGTGAAAGTGTTGATGAGACCGTTGAGTTAGTTAGCAGTACACTTGGTGTTGGGAAATCTATGATTTACAGAGTTATTAAAGAAGAGAAATGTGGTAGTTTTCAAATGCCACGTAATACTCCAGGGAAACCAAAATTTCAAATAGAATATCATTTTAAAGAAGGACTTATGAAAGAAGACTTTAAAGAAGAATACGTTATGGAAACTTTTAAAAAAATTGGGTTCCGCTGGAAAAAGAATCCCAGAAAGTCTATTTTATTAGAAAGAAGCGATATTGTCATATGGAGAAGACATTTTCTAAGAACCATAAAGGAAATGAAGAAACCAAAAAAGAAAAATATTTTATCTTGATAAAACATGGATCAACGAGGGTCATACACCAAATAAATTTTGGCAGGATGAAACTGTTACAAGTCAAAGGCACGCTTTTGTAAATAACTTATCTACTGGTTTAAAACCACCATCAGGAAAGGGACGCAGGCTGATAATAGTACACATTGGCAGTTCAGACGGTTTTGTTGAAGGTGGTTTATTAACTTTTGAATAAACTCTTACCGGTGACTACCATGAAGACATGAACGCTGATGTCTTTCAAGAATGGTTCGAACAAATGATAGATCTTCTTCCTAAGAACTGTGTAATAGTAATGGATAATGCAAGTTATCACTCCAGACTTATAGAAGGACTGCCCACAACCAAGTGGTTAAAAAAGACTTGCAGAATTGGCTGAGTTCAAAAAATATTACGTACCATCCCGGATCTATAAGAAAGGAACTTTATTCGTTGTGTGCCCTTCATAAAGAAAAATTTTAAAAATACGAAATTGATGAAATTGCCAAAAATCGTGGAATGACAGTACTTAGATCCCCACCATATCATTGTGAATTAAACCCGATTGAACTGGTTATGGGCACAGATAAAGAGTGAAGTTTCAAGAAAAAATACCACTTTTAAAATTCATGATGTTAAACAGTTGTTTTTGGAGGCCGTAAATAATGTAAAACCTGAAAACTGGGAAAAGGCAGTAAATCACAATATTAAAGAAGAGTAAAAAATGTGGAAGCTGGACAATATTACTGATAAAATGATCGAGCCAGTTATTATAAATCTTGGTTCTGAAAGTTCATCTTCTGAATCTGATTTGGATTTGTAACAAGTAGCTGTAAGTTTTATATTAATATTTTTATTCATCTATTTAACATACCTTAGACGGTTTTAAAAACTCTTTTTCTCTTTTGTAATTTTTAAAAATTAAAAAAAATTTTGAATTTTTTAAAACCCTTTTTAATGTAGGCCAGTCAGTTCTAATATAGTGTGTGATAAAAGAGTTCACTTTTGTTTACATACATATAACACTTTATAACACTGAAATAATTCATTTATTTTTTACAATTATTCAAAGTAATTTTTCAATTAATCTTGAGCACGCCCATGGAGTGGTCGGACGTACCAGTTAAAATTATGCTAATTACTCTCTCGTTCATAAAAATAAACTATAGAGATTTTTATGAGTGCCATAAATCGCACATACCAAGATATACTCAACATGTATATTGCAACAACGAAAACTACTTAACATCGTTAACGAAAAAAAATTTCCTATCATTACCACAGTATACTGCTTTTTTAGGTAGTTTGACGAGGAAAGGTAGAGAGACAACAAGTCCTAGAAAAAACAACATTCATGGCTAAGAAACATAAAAGACTGGTGTAACAACAAAGACCCAGCCACCATTTTTGAAAAGTAGGCCCTTAATAGAAGAAATTAAAATAAAAAAAGATGTTATTGCGACGTTGTTTGTTACGATTACGATGTTACATTACGATGTTTATTAGACTACGTAACTATTATTAGATTTAGCTAGGTACCTACGTTAAGATTTAGAGTTACAAAATTTACTATACTTTACTATGCAAATAAAACACGAGAAACAAGAAACAATAACAACAAATGAAATAAACACAAAAGTAAAGTTATTTAACAAATTAAATATTCAACAATGTAACAATTATATAAAAATTTTTGATTGAAAATGTACAAATTAATTATAAAAAAAAATGTATCGGAACAACTCAGCCTCATAAATCGATGATATAGATTAAATGTCTAAAAATACACAAATAAGATAAGATAATATAAACTAAAACCACAATAAAACTTTTTGCATGAATGTTGAAGTTTAGGAACATAAACTAAATAAATACCGATAAAAGATGCAGAGTGGCTCAATATGTTTTTGGAAAACATGTTTTACACTATTTGGAACATATACATTATATAAAGTGAAAATAAATACAGTTTGTATTTTTGGCACTATTTATTTTGATGGACACGATATTTATCACTACTTAAAAAAATCATTTAATTGTTTATTATTAACTTTCTAATTTAAACGTTTAGTGTTAGATTTCCCTTTTACTTGAAAAAATAACTACCATACCTAGAGCAATAGTCTTTAGTGGACAGAAAAGATTGTATTACAGAGGAAGTTTTTGAACTTTTTTGTGTAGGTCAGATAACAAAAAGAAGGAGGAAACATTACACCAGTTTAAAAGCGCCTTTAGATCACAGATATTATACGAGTGAAACGTGAATGAATTTGATGTGTGTATGTATCAAATGAACTTTACCATTTTAAATTAATCTGGATTTGATTTCATATATTCCATAATTTCAATCACGGTGTCCAACGGTTGCTCATCTAAGCTACAGAAAATTCTTATTCTATACTATACAAGACATTCAGAATAACTATAAATATAACCTAATATTTTTAAAAAAATGTATACCACTATTTGATTTCTTTAAAAGATAATTCTAAAGAAAATAAACTAATTTAAAACTTGTTTAAGTCCCTTTTATTTATTTTTTTTGTAACATATACAGAGGATCCATTTGTCAGAAATTTAATAAAACTTATAAAGAGATCATTTCGGCGACTGTATGCAAAAGTGGTTCAACTCAAAAATTGACAAAATAAAGTTAACATTACCAGATGGCTTGAAAAAGACTAATTTCGGACCTGCAACATCGGCACAATAATAATAGTAGCACAAATGTCCTCTATCACGTCATTGGTGTCACTATGGCATGTCAGTTGAGATATATTGTTTCTTGCAGTACTGGCACGTTTTAGTTATGCGATGGAAATCGAACCGTGTCAGTATTAAGTTTTCGTGCAATACCGACACTTTTGAATTCTGCCACTATAGTGGCATCTAGTATAATTTTATTGTTTTAAAAATGTCAAATCCTTACCGTTATCAGACAAGAAGTGAATTAATCGTATCTCAAGCAGGAGTAACTTAATAATTAATAATACCAATATTATTTTTATGTAATAAGCAAAATTGTTTTCAAGTTAAAAAAGACCCTACAGGTAAATAGTCAATTGAAAGCAAGTTCTTTTTCCATAATGAAAATGTTCCTAACAATGAGGAAGGTTATGATCAATCCAATATGGAGAATGTTACCCCTGAGTACACAGAGTGCATCGATGCAGCGAAGCAAATAGGTACAAAATTACTCTTTTATAATCATCGATGCAGCGAAACAAATAGGCACGAAATTACTCATTTTATAATGCTATTGGCATTACAAGGTTTTTTTGTTTTATTCTAAGCTATTGGCCAATTTACTAAGTAGGTATTAATTTTTTTCTTGTATTAGATAGGAGTTCTAAATTGGTACGCACCTCTTCTATGAGTAGAGCTGCCTCTTCTAATATTAATGATTCTGATGCGGATGTATCGACTACATTTACATAGGTTTCTGATAAAAATGTGTAGACTGAAGTACCAGAAGACGTGACGATTAATAAACCTAAAGGTAGGAAAAGGAAGGCTTGTCCGCACCAATGGAATATAACTCATTTCAAAATTTATTTTAAAACTAATCGTTATTTAATTATTGGCCATACTCAAAATAAGGATGACAGCTGCCACTCTTTAATAGAAAGAAATATTACGAAAGCTTTAAAAGGAAAGGCTATTTATCTACTGACTGATTACTCTACGCTAATCCGGACTGTTCGCTGCAAACAACCATTCGAAGTACACGAATTATGTCATAATGATTTTTTTGACCGAAAAAGTTTAAATACTAAAACAACGACAATTT